TGCTGGTGTCAGATCTAGGCCACCAGTGTGTTGAAATGCAGTGCTGTTTCTCAGTCTTAGACTTTCTTGTCTACAAGAACCTGGAACCTATAAACTTGTAATAACTACAGGTGGCATTGCTTAAACGTTAACGTGCTTTTCAAGACTTATTTTTCCTGGAGGAGAGGCAGGCTGTGATACAAGAAGCATGCAGGCTATGCGTATGCATGTAGGTGTGGGATTTTTTCATACAGGCAAAATGGCAACAACACCCATGGTTTACAACACTTACATTTCTGCAAAAGCCTTGGACCAACACAGCAGACTCAGCATTCAGTTGTACAAGGCAAGAACACAGCTGAAGTTCATTTTCTGTCTATTTTCTCTTTGGCTTCACAGCTTTCCTCTTATCTGCCATCTCCTGTTTTCACATATATGCAAGTTTAACATTAGGCAAGCTGTCCATGATCTTGCTGCAGAGGAATATGATATTATGCCTTCTCTACCCAAAGTGCTGAAGGCTGTTAGGTACAAATGTGTTGCTGATGTACAGTTCATCAGGAATTTCTATCTGCTTTCTGGTTTTATGTTTAGCACTGACTGTAAAGAGGAGCTCGCCGGCAGGCAAAGTGCCAGTCCTGGTGGGAAAGGATAAGATATTTTGCTCTTACAGCTCATGGATATTTTGTGTTTGAATGGCTGTGGCAGCTCCAGCTGATGATGTGAGTAGGAACAAGGAGGAAGTTGCCCCACAGACTGGGGCACTGGTCACTGAAGCCTGAGCATTTCTTATAGCTTTTATGAATGTAATAGAGGTGCACTGGCATCCCCCTGGAGATGCTGGGAGAGTGCTTATAACATGACAGGTCCACTGTTACAAATTGATCCATTTGGCACTAATCGGTCTCCCATATCACTGGAAATTCCACTGGATGACCAGGGAACATCACATTCCTGTTCCTTGAGACAGAATCTGGCCACTGCACTGTTGCATAAAGCCAAGGTGACAGTCGGCAGGTCACAAATCCTCAGTAGCCAGACATACCTGCAGCAGCTATAAAGGCCCTAAGTAAGGCCATAGGAGTGATAGATTTCTTCTTTTGAGCCATCTGTAAAACGTTAGCGTTTGAGTCATTCAGGTGGTAAATGTCTGATATGGGGAAGTAAAAGTATTTTAATAACCTTTGCTTTATGGAGCTACTTGGAAGTTCTACAGCTCCAGGAAGAGATTCTTTGTATTTCCCCTTCAGCAAGGAATGTCACAACAGAGGTGGAGGAGAGGATATGTTTTGCCTTATCTGCTCTGCTGTAAGAAACAGGGAAGTTAACATTTTCAGGGAACTGCAGAAACACAGTCTTGACTGATAATAGTAAGAACTAATATTTAATTAAACTTGGACATCATATTAATCATGTGTGTATATTACACCTTGTATTCATCCATCACACTGTCATACCAGTACATAATAGTCTTTATGAGCACAGGAAAACAGCTTTAGCTTAAAAGAAAGCAGAAATGTAGAATAAAGAAATGTCTTTATTTCAGCTTTTGACTAAAACTACTGATAATCATAGAGACATGATTACTTTTCTCTCAGTGAATAAACAGCTGCTTAAATGCCCAAACCATCATGTATATCAAATCACCAGCTACTGCAAAAATTGGTGTGACTTCAGTGATTTCAGTTAGCATACACAGATTTCTGTCCTCTGATTCCTGGGGCCATTGAACGGAAATCCTGCTGAGCTATGGAAAAGTGGATGGTGTGCTTCCCTGCCTCCCTCAGCAAAATTGTCACCCACACGCCGATTGTGGAGCCTTGTTACCCATAACAGTGCAGGGCAGCAGGAACCCAGCTCGACTTCTGAACACAAGGGAACTCATGGTAGCAGCAGTTAGCAAAATATCTATCTATCTAATCTTTTGACATGTAAGTGGAGGAAAATTGCTGCTGAATCACTGGGAGGGAAGAAATATGAGAGCTTAAGATGTCATTTTTACAGGCATAATTTTTACTCTAATGGCCTTTAATAGCATGTACAAGTCAGTGTAATGCTGTCAGCTGCAGCAGAGATAGAGTTATAGAAATGTAATAGCTCAAACTGCTTGGAAGAATAGTTTTCCTGCTGTAGTTAATTAGCAATGCATTGTGGTTTTCCTGTTCTGCTTGCTTGTTCAAGTTTTGAAATGGTAGCTGGTGTCTTGGCTGTTCTTTCCCATTTATTCATTGAATTTCTTCTTTTCCTCCTCCTGCAAATAAATGTAGTGTCTTGGGACTTGAGGAACTTGCCATCAGGCACGTTACAGGACTCCTTTGATGTCCAGCACTGAGTAGCACTTTGCATTAGGTATCTCTCTGACAGTAAACAATTAATGATGCCAGCTTTATCTCCAGTGTGTTTAGAGTCAGAAGAGCAGTTGCACGTAATGCCAAGAGAAGCACCATCTGTCCTAATAAGCGCTCAAAATCATTACCGAAAATACCTGTTTGAATTCAAAGGTCAGTTTATTTCCTGGGGAAAGGAAATCTGGAGAGCAGGGGGAAATTCAAATCCAATAAGCTCTAGCAACACAGGACGAGGTTATTCAAACACATTGTGGCTGTCATGAAGAGGGTAATTATCCTAGCAACAAAGGAAATATTTATTCTATCCTCTGAAATCATTAAGATACTGAAATCTGACCATGACGGTCTTCATTGTCTGATAGACTGAGAAAAATGCAGGTTGGAAAGGCCTTTGGAGGTCTCTGGTCCATCCTTCCTCTCAAAACAGCCAAACTTAAATCTATTTTCCTTTAATTGGGTCACTCAGGGCCTTACCCAGTCGAATTTTGCATACATTTGAGGCTGGATAGCATCGCTTTCTCCACTCAGATCCAATGAAGGCAAGCTCCAAAACTAAGTAAATCCTGCTCCTGTAAATTATTCAGCTCCTCCTCTTCCCTGGTGGAAGGAATGTGAGGGCCGTGGTAGTGGGGACAGGAATCAGACCCACTGACTGCCATGGCTGATCGTGTGAGCTACAAGAGGAACGTTTCACCCAATGCTCTAAAATAACAGTTACTGTCAAATGCAATATTTCTTTGGAGGTGAAACTTTTCAGAGGAGCAGCCTGATTTTCATGCACACACAAAACCAGATGGGAATGTAGAAATGATGAAATTGAAATAGTTGAACGCTTCTTTCAACATTTTTCCCCTGTGACATTTTGAATCTTACTTCAGAGAGACTTTAAAAAAACCTTTTCTTTTGACACTTTGATATTATTTCAGCCCTTTGTCTGGAATATATCAACTGATTTTATCAAAATAAAGTAATTCAGTTGATTCCACATGACAAAAAAAAAAGTCTTGAAAATTTTGAAAATTCATATATTGTTATGCCTGTTTAGCACAAAACTTCTTGTTCTCACTCAAATCTTGATGAAACAAATTAAGGGCTTCAAGGTCATCTCTCCAATACATGCACATAAACTGTGTATATGTCTGTTTTCACATATGTCATACTTTAATGTACTGCTGGCACTTAGGAATCCTCATGGGCACCTCCTCAGGCTAGTGGTCCAGCTTTAGTGTGTGTTTCCTAATTTTATGTCTCTAATTCATGATTCTGCTGACCTCATAAAACAGCAGTGAGGCTCTCTCTACATACACATTGTACCTTGATGTTGAGGCTTGACTCAGAAACATCTCTGACAGATAATTCATTCCCTTTATAGTCACTGAAAATGTGGCTCCATCTTCAATGCAGTGCTCATATCCTACGGGGCCCCATGTTGCATAACTTCTGTGCTTGCCAAACCTGGAAGCTACATCTACCAGATAATCGTTACTCATTCACTAAGAAAATGTATTCATCAGGCACATAGCTGAATGATATGTTTAGTTATTTAGAAGACGTGTTTAGTTATTTAGAAGACCTGAGAATTTATGGGCACTTCATGTGTCTCTGGACCCCAGTTCGCTGTCACAGCTCTGGGCACATCAGTGCTGCCCTGTTTCTACAGAGCCTGCTGAAATCCCAAAATCTGAAGATCAAAAATATTTCATTGGGAACCTGAGACAGACTGTCAGGTCAGGACCATCGACAAGCTGCAATAGGACGATACGGTTGCTCATCTGCCAGGCTTATGGGCATCATCTAATTTCAGAGCAATTAGATTTCCAGTTTTAGGTTTGATACGCCTTCCTGATGTAGAAATCTGCTAGCAAGTGGGTAGCCCAGGGACCAGGCAAACAGAAGAGCTGATTTATTATCTCTTTGTTAAGGCATTTTTAGTTCATGGCTAGTTGTTATATTGAGAGAAGGGACCTGTTGTACTATGAATATTACGGATGTTTCAGGAGGAGAAAAGAGTGTGCAGGGCATGTCCCCTTGACAGTGAAAAGACTAGAAGCCCCATTTGCCCTGTCCTTGTGGCAGAAGGTTAAAGTTCAGCCAGACAAGAGGCAGATTTCTGGGAGGTAGAAAGGGAACTTGGCTATGGAAAAACACACTTTATTTCACTGACATTTTCACAGCTTTGAAACACTTTTCTAATTTGCAATAACAGCTTTTGCAGTCTTGTCAAAATAAATGTCCATTGCAGTTAGGAAAACCCCAACATTTACTCAGTTATGGCTAAATGGGAGGAAGGTGTTCTCATTCATCACAGTAAGGAGGGTGCAGACAGCTTTGTGACTAACTGCAGAGGAAGAGGAGAGAGGAATATGAAGTCACTCCCTTGCTCCGTGACCTCAGACAAACCACAGCATTGATCTGTGCCTCATTTTCACTAACTGGAAACCAGAAAATACTAGCTTTCCCTTTTAAGGCACTCTGAAACCTTATTTATTCCTGCTGTGAAAATATGCTGAGCTCTTTGTGTAAGAGGCAGTCAATGGAAACCGGCTACAGGCTCATTTTTTCTCTATTTTGAAAGGCAGGAGAAACAACCTGCAGAAAATGCTTTACAGCTTTATTTTTAGAAGACATGGATGTCTCCTTTGATGACTGCTGTTCTCACTGTTCTCCTTGCAGGTACTATGCTATCTGCTGCCAGCCTCTGGTTTACAGGAACAAGATGACTCCGTTGCGCATTGCTGTAATGCTTGGAGGGTGCTGGGTAATCCCAACATTTATTTCTTTCCTCCCTATCATGCAAGGCTGGAATAGTATTGGCATCATTGATCTGGTGAGTAGCTAAGGGGGAACACCAACCTGATATCAAATATATTTGGTGCTGTATATTCTTCTTTAAAAAGATGTATTTGGAGAAAAGAAGGGAACAGAGGGGTTTTTTAAGGGGGTTTGAAATGACTCTGTCCTGGAAACATTGATACAAAGACAGTGGTGGCCCTGGGATTGGATTTTACATCTACTAGTGAGTTCAGTGAGTAGTCCTGTGAAAACATGCCAAGCCCCAGCTGGCTCCTAATGGGTACCTCAGGAGTTCTTAGTTCCCCTTGACCTTCTTGCCATGCTAGTGATATTTGGAGAGCCATGAAACCCGAACTTCCCCAGAAGGGACAGCATTTTGGGCCAATTCTATCAATATCCTTGTCCTGTTGTGAGCCTAGAAGGAGGGGAGAAGGTGAAGTTCCCCTGTGCAAGTCATTTCAGCAGGAGTCAGTTTTCCTTGCTGCAGTCTGGCTTCACTTGCAGGATCCCATCTACAGGGGAAGGAGTTAAGAGCTGCAAATGCTCTCTCCTTCTAGTGTAAAGATGCAGGAATTAAAAATGGCAAACTGTGAAAACACTTTGTTTAGAAGAGCTTGCTCAAAGAGATGTGGCATCCTCTATGCCAAGTCTTAGCCAAGGAGCTGTGAATACTTTTTGGCTCATGGAGAATAACAGGTGCAAGCTGCCCAGCCTCTAGACAGTGTGATAAAGCCAAAACTGCTTCTAGCCAATCACCTTCAGGACATGCATGCTTGCAGCAAGTTAATGAGGAGATCTCAGACGATGGACGCAATCTGCAGACTGCTGCCACCAGCCGTGTTCCTGGAAAGTCCGTGTCACCCCCAGCCCGCAGCTGCCCTCCAGTTGCTGCAGCCTGGTCCCTTTCCTGTCCATTTGGTCCTTTCCTAATACCACCTGTGGGACTCGGCTGTGTGGAACTTGTGCATCTGTGGTGTAAAAGCACACCCTGAACAGAGCAGTGAGCACTGCAGAAAAGCATGGCAGAGAGTGGAGTTGCTCCCCTTTGCTGTGTCTGAACTGGGGAGTTACACTTATTTTCACTGGCCAGGTTGAGGCATGCTCTGCAACGCTGGAGCTGCAACATGGGATGGTCCAGAAGACCCGAGGGCCTGCAGTACCACGGAGCCCACAGTGTGGGCACAGGCAGGAGAGGCAGCAGTGGGTAAGGCAGGTACTGTGGATAGGAGAGCCAAGGGAGTACATAGTGTCAGAAAGTGGTGATGAGGACTCCTAAGAAACAGGCTGCTGGTATCAGAGAAGAGCTGAACTTCTTTCCCTGTTCTTTGTCCTTGTCCTTCCTGCCCCTGTCCCAGGTTCAGCAAAGGCAGTTCAACAAGGCTTCCAACTCCACCTACTGCATATTCATGGTCAACAAGCCATACGCCATTACCTGCTCCGTGGTGGCCTTCTACATTCCCTTCCTCCTGATGGTGCTGGCTTACTACCGCATCTACATCACAGCCAGGGAGCACGCCCGGCAGATCAGGGTGCTGCAGCGCGCAGGGGCCCCCACCGACGGCCGGCAGCACCACCCGGACCAGCACAGCACGCACCGCATGAAGACTGAGACCAAAGCTGCCAAGACCCTGTGCATCATCATGGGGTGCTTCTGCCTGTGCTGGGCCCCCTTCTTTGTCACAAACATAGTGGACCCTTTCATAAACTACACCGTGCCAGGGAAGCTGTGGACGGCTTTCCTGTGGCTGGGCTACATCAATTCAGGGTTGAACCCTTTCCTCTACGCCTTCCTGAACAAGTCTTTCAGACGTGCCTTCCTCATCATCCTGTGCTGTGGTGATGAGCGATACCGAAGGCCTTCCATCTTGGGGCAGACAGTCCCGTGTTCCACCACCACAATAAATGGATCGACTCATGTACTAAGGTGAGTGTTTCTCCGATGCTGCAAAACGCCTGTAGACACAAGAAAGAGTACTTCTCTAGAGTTTTTGTAGAGGGTTGGTTTCACTTTGCATTTGAAATATCTGATTGATTAAATGTTTAAAAAGGAAGGGTGAAGAGAAGCAGCCAGAAATCCTTAGGGTGCTCAGACAACCTAGCTTTGTAGATGACAGATATGTGTTGGCATGCACACTTTCTCCAGAGGTGTGTTCAGGGAAGAACAGAATACAGAAGCTGTGCATGCATTTTGGCAAGCCCTGCTTGTCTGGTCTGGGGGGAACAACTTGACCCCATGGGGAGCACCTGGGGGATGCTGCCTGCTCTGTCTTCTCTAGGAAAGAGATCATGACACCTCCCATTGCCCCTTCTCAGACTCTGCCTTTGATGGCCCACCAGCCACTGCTGCAGCTTCTGAACTAATGAAAGGCAAAGGATGAACTTCCCCAAACACTGTGATCCCGGGACACGTCAGTGGATCTCTGGGAGGAGGGGGGCTTGCCATTTTGTTTGAGCAGCTCAGCAATTCCCAGGGTGTCTGCCTTGCACTCTAACACAGTCAAACTCCCAAACACTGTGGGAGCCCCAGGAGCTGAGCGTGTCTTGCATGGGTGACAGCCTGGTGTTGACAGTTTGGGTCCCAGTGAATTTGAGCCCCACACCATTCACTGAGTACCACAATGTGTTCATTGCAAGAGGAGAGGGTGTGGACTCTGCACTGTGGGGGTAGAGAGGGATTTGGAGGCCTCTGCGGTGTGAGACACCCTCAGCTGTCTTCTCCTCATCAAGTGGAGAGGTGGGAGGCAGAGCACAGGAGGAAGGGAGGGAAGAACAATTATCTCCCGTAATATCAGAACAAACTGCAGACTCTGGATAAAACTAGAGGTGTTTCTATGCAGCTTTCTAGAGGAGGTTTGGTTCTTTTGTTAGATGGATTCTTGGCTCTTCACATGCAGATAAAGGATTTGGTAACTCTGTGCTCGGAGCTGAATCTGCCCAGTGACTAAATCAGACACTGAGCACTTCCCAGCTGAGCCTCATCTGCAGGTTTGCCCTAAGCTCCCTTCTGCAGTGATTGCTGGCTTTGGAAAGAGTCTGAGCTGTTTAGTGGATGGGAGATGGAGCAGGACTTGTCACAGCCTTGAGACAGACCTCTCAAGCTTTCTAACTCATGAAGGACACTGCAACATATTTATCTTCTGATTAAAAACTGTTTGGGGGCCATGGTCCTAGAGCTGTCTGTGATGGATGCCTGGCACTGTGCCGTGCTCAGCCTGTGTTCTGTCAGAGCTGTGCTCGCAGGGACAAAGCTGATGCTCCTCTGCTGTGGTTAGGAGGATTGGGAGCAGCCCTTGTTGGACTCAGCTCTCCATCCCGCAGTGAGCCAGCCAGTACCTCTGGCTGGGGAGCCGTAGGGATGAATGCTGGAAACACATCCCTGCATGGGTCTTGGCCACTCAGGCCAGCTGGGGAGACTCTGACAAGCTGCAGTAAATGGTGGATTCCACCATGGAGCTGAGATCAGGCATTCCTCATTCTAGCTTCTCGCTCCCACTTGTACCACTCTGGTCCCACATAGGACCTTTCCATGGAAATGTATAACAATCCTGTCAATCTAGATGTGACAACCATTGTATGTGCAAGAAGCAAACCTGTGCAGGGCATCTTGTCCACTTCTAGCTTTTTGTGAGTACTTTAATGGCTAAAAGCGTGTTGCTTCTCTTCAACATACTACACGCACAAATCAGATTACCTTCTGCCTTTCTGTGTTGCTCCACCTCTGCAGAAGGCACTTGCTTCCTGCTGCCACATCCTCTCCTCCCTCCCTGAATCCCTGGAGGGATTCGGCTCTGTGCATCAGCACTTCAGAGAGCAATTATTTTCTGTTATCTTCAGCTTTGTAATGGATGAGAAAAGTGTGACTTCTTTGCCTGGTGCAGATTAAGCACCGATGCTGACAGAGGTGTGGGGATTAAAACAAACCAACGAACTGTAGTTTTTGGACAGTTAATCTTACTTGAGGAATTTTCGTGTCTTCAGTGCTTCTCTCTTAAATGCAGAGAAGGTTGGACTCAACATGGATAGAGGAGAAATTTGGTGAGGTGGGTTCTCTGAAGATGTAATGTATATTTCTTTACTAGTTTGGATATATAAGGGATTTGTGTCCAGTAAATGGAATAGTGAAGCCTTCCTGTATGGGCTGACTTCATACCAGCCCAACTGAGAAGCTGCACAGGGGCAGTGCCTGGCTCACACACTTCTTTTCCAACCTCAAAGCTGTTTCTTCCTGACCAAGAACTGCAAATGGGGAGTGGGATTTTACAGCTGGTTTTTGTATCCTGGAGGGGGGGAACAGTGAAGAGCAGGAAAGACCTTGTGCTGGGTTCCTTCCCCAAAACCTGCAGAGATTAGTATTTTGTAGTAAGTTGACATGGGTCATTTAGCCTCAGAGGGAGTCAGGAGTAGGCAGATTGGGGGTTTTTTTCCACTTCCAGTCATGAGAAGATCTGAACTTTCCTTCCATCCTATCTGTCCAAACCATTCTGTCCTTGCTCACAATCAACTCACCGGTGCATTTCCAAGTGCAAGAATATGCTTGTCACTGTTAAAACTCAGGCTCTTGCTCTTGGAGGCACCCCTTGTGAGAGTGCCTTCTAGGGAAGGGACAGCAATTCTTCTATTCTTCTTCTGATAATTTTAGTGTCACAATGTTATGACATTACAATTTTGGGATTTTTCACATTTATATTAGGAATGGGAAAAAAAGAAGGAGCAGCAGAGTGCAATAAAACACGTCAGCAAGAAGAGGCAGATGCTCTCACCACACCCAGACTGAAACCACTTGGGAAGCAGTTCTCATTCCTTCTTTCTTTTATAACTTATTTTTCAAGTGATCTATAAAGACTGTGGTGCTCTGGGTGGCCCAGCAGGGAGAGACTTTGTACAGCACTCCTTGGGCCAGACCCAACTGCAGTGATGATGGTGCAAGGGAGGTGACTGCACAGTGGCTCAACTATGATATGAGAGTGATCATAACTTTCTTATTTCCCTGGCAACCGCCTCACTTTAAGTTATGAACAGGAAGATGGGGAAAGGATTTTCTGTCACCATTTAGTTCTCGAACTTTCCACCAGCTGGTGTGAGAGACACCCATTTGTTGGGCATAGTAAGACGTGACACAAAGTGTGTTCTGAAGATGTCACAAGCAGCTGGGAGATAGGATTTGGTCAGAGTTGAATCTGTGTGTATGATGGGAAAGAGTATTAGAATTCAGTATTCAGCTTGAGAGAAAATTTAGGTTTGCTGTTTTCCAATTTTGCTTTCTGCAAGCATAGGAATTGCCAGAACCCCTTTTCTTACCCCTGAATATTCACCTATTTCAATCCTGATGTGTACCATCAACTGCAAAATTCAGTCAGGACACAGGCAAATGGTGAATTGAAATTTGCAGGTGTGGCTACAATCTGAAATTCACACGCTATTCATTTTTCAATGGTTGAGATTGCAGCTCACATGTCATATACAAAGTTTTGTTTCTCTGGCTGCAGCACAAGTTGTGTAATTCATTATAAATATTTGCAATTCATAGCTCTAATAACCTGTGGTTTGGAATATCATTCATTGAGAGGACTGGGGAATCATTCTGAATAATGAGGGGATAGGAGAATTTGCAATGAGCACTCAACTAACGTATGGCAAAAATTAGTACAATTATTAATTGCAATAGAGATGGGTTTCTGGATGGCTGTAACATTTGCTCAGTTCTGTGCACCATGAGAGTGAAAACAAAATGCCATAATCATCTGAACAGTTCTGTCTTCCCCTTTAACCATATTGCTTGCATATCTTTTGTCGCACAGAGATATTTATGCAACACAAAACAACAAACTCATGCCTTCATGAATCATCAAACTCTCATTTTGCACAGGTGGATGGGAACTCAGATCAGCATTGCTTGAATTCTTGGAAAAAACAAGATCTGAATTTTGCCACAGCAAAGATGAATTTGAGTAACACATATTTGAGCAAGGATTGGAGTAGGCAAACTCTGGAATGTTTAAGTCTCAGAGTTCACTTTGGTGCATTCCCCATTTCCTCTCAGAAGCGCACAGTTCAGCACAGTACAATGTATTGGTATCTTCAGGGAATGATACAGTGAGTGGTTTATTTACTCATTTTCCATCAGAGACAGGTCGTCTCAGACAAAGCCGATGCCAGTTTTATTTCTCCAAAGTAAAACACATCCTGATTTGCCTTTTAGAAGAGCCAAGAGGAACAAAGTGAAAGAAAAAAAGCAGCTGCACGTTGGGGGCTGGAAGTTCATTGTCTTCATAAATACAGAATTACATTAATAAGCCAATCAGCCCACACTCGTGTCAGCACTCTGCAGGTGCATAAAACACTGGGAGAAGTGTGCAGTAAACCACGGCGTGCAGCCGGCACTCGACGCCAGAGCTCTGCTGTGGAGTCTTATTGATCCCAGGAGGGAACATGAGTAATTGTGCCAGTAAATCTCCCAAACTGCAGCGAGCTCCGGTGCTTCCTGGCTGCTGCTGGAACTGGCAACACAGCAACTCAGGTCTCCAGTTCTTAGAAGTTTAGCAACTCCATGGCTTATGGATCTATTGGAATACAAATAAATCCACGCTGGCTGTAGGGAGGAGAAGGTCAGAGCTCCTGTGGAGCAAAGGATGAAGTGATGCGCGCCTATCAGTGATTTCACGGACTGCAGTTGTGGCTGGACTTAGAAAACACAGAGGTTAGTTACTCAGAGCTGCTTTCTGGTGGAACCAGCAGGTCTTTCTCAAGGATTTACAAGTAAAATAATTCCTCCTGTTCTGCCTCCTCCTGTTCCTCTTATCTCTTATCCTTCCTTAGGCACTAAGACAGCCGCAGAGACTGCAGAGCTTCCTGAGGCAGAATAACAGACTCGCTGCTGAGGTTCAGAAAGCCCCAGCAGATCCCACCGCTCCTCCGCAGCAGCAG